AGGAATTTCCACACAGAAATCAAGCTGGGCATGGTGGCTCACAGTACTTGGGAGGCTGAAGCAGGATTGCTATGAATTCCAGGCTAGACAGGGTCAGAAAATGAGATCTTGTCTCAATAAATAAATAAATAAATAAATAAATAAATAAATAAATAAATAAATGGGAAAGAGGTAAAGGGGGAAGGAAGGAAGCAAAGAGAAAGAATACTAAACACATGCCACAAAGAGGACTTAGCAACTAGCCACAAAAGAGCCTGCTTTGCAAATGGATGGGTGTGGCAAAGACACAAGGTGCAGAGAAGTGGGGGGAAAAGAACTGGTCTGTCCAGGCAGTCTTTATTATATGCTGCTCAATTCAACAAAACCTGGAAAATAGAGGGGATGACTTTGCTGACGAGGAGTGAACTTTTCTGAAGTTAAATTACTCACAGCTTCCAAACACCTAGAGAAAGCTAAGTGGAGATCAGATCAGATGGGGGAAGGGCACGGTTCCCGCTGCCATCTTGATCTTTGCTTCGCCAGTCCTCACCCCCTCTCCAAGAAGAAACCAGAGACCCTCCCATCATTGGGGTTCATCCTCACCCCCTCTCCAAGAAACCAGAGACCCTCCCACCATTGGGGTTCGCACCAGCATTTGCAGCAAGTTGTCATTTCAGGAACTTATTTCCAATACTCTGGAATGTTTTACATGATTACAAGGCTGTTTTAGAATCAGAAAGGAAAGAGAGAGCTAGGAGGTAACTCAGTTGACAGAGTGCTTACCTAACAAGTATGGAACCTGGTTCCATCCCCAACACTGAATAAAATGCACATGGTGGTGCACACCTGTAATCCCAGCAGGCTATATAGTGGGTTTGAGGCCAGCCTAGGCTACATAAAGTCCTGACTCAGAGAGAGGGAGGAAGAGACAGAGAGAGAGAGATAGATTGTTTATTCTGAATACATCCTGCTTATAAGTCAGCTAAGCTACCACCAGCCAACTGTCCTAGTGTTGTATACTTTATTGAGTTGGGACCCTGTGTGTTGAGGTGGACCTTTGTATCCTCTGAAGCACCCATGTGCCTTGTAGACTGGGTGCTTTGGCTATATAAATGAAATAGTGACTTGAATTAAAAAGTGATTCGTAAATACATTTAGTTTTTTCAGTGCTGGGGACAGAATGCAGGGTATCTACCACTGAGCTACAGTATATCCCCAACCCCATCATGCCAGTTGAAGATAGTATCACTTATCCATGTGCTACTAAGAATTTTGCTTTTTCCTGTCTTCCTTACAGTGATATGATCCCAGGCTCAGCAAACACTCTACCGTAAAGCTGTATCTCAATACCTTTAAAAACTTTGGTTTGTCTTGGTATTTTGTTATTTGAGATAGGATCTCACATTGTGGATAAGGCTGACCTGGAACTCGCTGTGTAGTCCAGGCTGGCCTCAAACTCAAAGCAATTCTCCTGCGTCGGTCTCCTGAGTGCTAGGATTACAGGTGTGGGCTCTCAAAATTTTTCTGGATTTTTAAATTTTCTATTTTATTTATTTATTTAGTGTGGGAGCATGCATGTGTGGAGGTCAAACTTGTGGGACTGAGTTCCCACCTTCCATCCCCTGAAGATTAAACTCAGGTTGGCAGGTTTGGTAGTAAGTGCCTTTACCCACTGTGCTCACTAACCCATTTTCTTCCTCTTTTTTATACATCTTGCAAACTAGGCAGGGGGAGAGAGAGAGAGAGAGAGAGAGAGAGAGAGAGAGAGAGAGAGAGAGAGAGAGAGGAGCTGAATTACACTTAACTGCCTATTTACCCTCATAAGCCTTCTACAATAGCTGCTGACCCCAGCTGTTGTGCTAAATTTAGGATTTTGGATTATCTGTAACTGTTTTTCCTGTCTCCCATTACCAAGGTTAATTGAGAAGTGATTGCAGAACAAGTAAGACTTTGGTTCCTTTTTTAAAAATTGCATAACACCATACTGAATAATACCAATGGGAACTCTACTGAGGGTTGACAGTTGTAGCTACCATAGGAAGGAATGTTACCACTGTCAAAAGGCTCATCTTTGGGCTGCCAGAAAATCTCAGTTGACAATGGTGTTGGTCTCCCCAAGTTCTGTCTTGCTCTAATCAGATATGGTCTTGGAATTAAAAAACTTCAGTTTTGCACGTTATTTTATGTCTGTTCACCTAGAAAATACCAGTTTTCCCAACAGAAATTTCACTACTTGATCTGAAACAAAACTAATAATTGCCAATCTTGTGCTTTATAAGAACTCTGAGGCCCAGAAAGGTGACACACACCTTTAATTCCAGCACTCTAGAGGCAGAAGCATGTGAATCTTTGTGAGAATGAGGCCAGACTGGTCTACATAGCCAGCTCCAGGCCAGCTGCAGGAAGACTCTGTCTCAACAACAACAAAATAATACCTCTAAAACTTTAGAAACAGAAAACTACAGGAGAAAAAAAAAGGGGGGGGGGGCTTAGATCCGCCGTAGTCCTTTCCTGTTGTGATTCTCATATGCAAAAATTATTTCTAAAAAAATTTTTTTCCAATGAAACCAGAGCCTTGCAAATTTTGTACTTCTTCGTTTGGGTTCACAGCCTCAAGCTCATAGCTGCAGCCCGTGGTAGGGTTGCTATTTTTAGCTTGGGCAGATTCTTGACATCTGTTTGTATTTAAGTGATGACACATCAGAACACGCAATGTCATTGTGTCACATTGTTATACACAAGAAAATTATAGTTCCCCAACAATAACGTGGTGTCAGGAGTGTCCTCTTGGCCATGAGTCAGTGCTTTAGAAGTTTCGGGTTATTTTTAGCGCGTCGGGTGTTTCCGAAGCTTTGGGTTTTGAATCCTGGTAGATCTAAGGGAAATCTAGGGCTGCGGTGGGGAGGGGGCCCCATTCCCTGACATGCACGGCCGCCCACCTTCCTGGCCAAATTAATCGTGGGTTCCACGCTGAGCTGCACGCACTTGGGGCTGGATCGCAGCTCTGCGCCAGGCCAGCATCCCAAGTGGAGGAGACCCTATAATTATCCTTCCGTCTGGGGCAGGCCCCGGGGCGACATCTCCCGAGTGACCCCGCGCTCCCCAGCGCAGCTCCCACTCACACGCGCGCGGTAGGACCGGTCCCCAAACTCCAGTCCTGGGGCGCGCAGTGGCGTTTCCATAACTACCCGGCGCGCGCGCCTCGGCGGAGGAAGTGACGAGAGTGGGTTGGCTGTTGTTGGGACACGTGACCCGGGTAGTGTTTTGACAGGGCAAACTGAGAGAAAGACTCAGGGAGCGAGCGCGCAGGGCAGGAGCGGGGCGGGTACCCGCCGGAGCGCGGAGGAGGCTGGGCTGGGGCGCCGGTGGATGCGCAGCGCTGCGCTCCGGGAGGCTCAGCCGGGGACGCTGTGTGATGTGAGCGGCCGGGCGGCCGAGGAGAGCAGTGCCGAGAGGAGGAGCGAGCGGGTCCGGGAACCGCGGAACCCAGCGGGCCAGCCATGAGAGCCGCTCCGGAGCGGGCAGTAGCTCGCGTGGGCCGGCGACGCTGAGCACCTAGCCACGGCGGGACCCGACTGGACGGGAGCGGAGGCTGCGCGCGGAGCCGCCTGCCTTCCCCGGGCCACGTAGGGCTGGGGGCGGGGTGGGTCGGCCAGGCGTGAGGACCGGCTCTCCTGCTCACCAGTTCCGCGTGAACTTGGCCTCGGAGGCCTCCGGAAGGCTAGCCAAAGGAGAGCCCCAGGTGAGGCCCGGAGGGTGCGCCCAGGGAGGCGCTGGGGGTGAAGGAGGCCGGTGCGCCCGGCACTGCAGAGGTGCCACTGTGCCCGCAGGCGGTTTTAACCCAGGGGTTAGTTAGCTAGTGTAGCTCGGCTCTCATTGCTCCTCCTCCTCCTTGCCTGTACCTCCAGGGTATAAATAGATCCTGCTTTTGCTTCCTAGACGCTGTGTCAGAGCAGGACACCTTGGCCTGGACAGCACCGGGGCGGGGAGAGGAGTGCTAGGCCGGAGGACATAGGGGAGGCGGGGCATCAGACTTCAGCTTTTTCAGACCTGGCTAGGGTGCTGTCACTGCAGTCGGTGCCAGGAAGAGGCCTAACTTAACAGTAGTTTTCTTGCAAGATCTGGGGAGGTGGGGGTGGGGTAGGGGGGAAGGAGTTAAGACAAGATTCGATTTTTTAAAAATTTCTTTTAGCGTTTGGAAAACGAAGCAGAAGCCGTTGAGTCAGCGGCGAGCCTGTTGAAAGAACCCACACCTGTGTTTTACAGCACTTTGGGTGGAAATTGGATGCGAAAATGAAGCCAGACCGAGGTAAATGATTTATTTAAGTAGGGCTTATGTTGTGTTGTGTTTCTGTGTCTCCTTTTAGAGGTGTTAACCTAATTTTGCGGCAGGATCGACCATGTTGTATCACAGATGATGATCAGTCTCTGAGGATTCCAGCTGGCGAGGAAAAAAGGAAGGCTTGTGGAGTAGCGAGTTAGGGTCTCCATGGGACCACCGGTTCTAAGTAGTATCCCAGAGAGTACTGAGTATTTGGTGTGTGGGGAAATCAACTGCCAAGAGCAGCCTTCCTGTGAGTGGCCACAGTGCTTAGGATCATTTAAAAGTGGCAGTCACTAATCTTTAGGTAAAGTCAACCCAACTTCAAAAAGTTTGTAAACTTTTGAAACTTGAGCTTGATCTTGATAAGAATATTGCTTTATTAGCATTACTTCCATTACCGTGTGTGTGTGTGTGTGTGTGTGTGTGTGTTTTAGACAATGTTTCACTAAGTTGTCCAAAGTGGCCCAGGACTCCCTGTGTAACTCAGGCTGGCCTGAGTTGAACTCATGATCCTCCTACCTCAGCCTCCTTCATGTTGGCAGGTATGTACCACCACAAAGGCCCCCTTAGTCAATTTTTGTGCTTTAAGTGAACTTCAAGAGTTTGCAGAGTACTCCAGCATTCAACCTCTCATATGAAGTCAGAGCTGTTTTCATTCTAAACCTTTATTTTCAGGACTTAGAAAATAATATATAAACTCTGGCCCCACCCCATCTCGTAGGTTTTAAATAATATCTTACTATTTTTATTTTATGTGTATGACTGTATTTCCTGCATGTATGTAAGTGCACCCATGTCATGCAATGCCCACAGAAGTCAGAAGAGGGCGTTGGATCCCCTGGAACTGGAGTTACAGATAGTTGTTAGCCACCATGTGGGTGCTGGAAATCGAACCTGATTCCTCTTCAAGAATGACTAGTGCTCTTAACTGCAGAGCATCTCTCCAGCCCCAAAAATACCTTTAAATGGAAAAGGGTATCCACCAAGTCCCCCGGGCTGGCCTCCAACTAGAGACCCCCCTGCTTCATGCCCCCGGGTGTTGGGATTGCAGATGTGTAGCACATACCTGCTTTATAAACTAAGCTTTTCAAAGACTTCAAAAGGAATTATTTACCAGCCTTCTGATAAAGGAAAAGGGTGAATTTGAGAAGATTTTAATACAGTAGTGGTTAGAAGTGAAGGCTTTCTAGTCAGATGTGGGCTTGATTCCAGGGAACATTATAAGGTGAGAATCGTTGTATTTGGTAGGGAAGACAAGATAACAGCAATCCTTCCAAATCTGAGACTTCAGGATTGGAAATAGTGATTTATTCTCTGAAGTATATTTATGAAAAGCTATGCATTTAAATGGTTATTTTTCTATGGGATTCCATGTGATTGTATTTCAAAGTAATTAGAAATACAATTGTCTAGTTAAGTTTTTGGTCATAATGTCTATTAAAATATACTAGGAAGAAGTGGAAGACAGCTGTATGTAATTAGTTTTAGGTGTCTGGCTGTTACTTAATAAATTTCAAGCAATGTCTATAGAAGTATCTCCAGGGCTGTGCTGCTAAGGGCTGCCTTTGTACCATACTAAGTTTAGATTTTTAGATTACATCAGTGACTTTGAAAAAAATGGCACTGAAGTCAGAAGTTGTATCTCAGAATAAACAAACAAATAAAATCAAAGTCACTGTTTGTTTTGGGTTGTTGGTAAAAGTTGCTTTAAAGCTACAGCACTTAAAAATGTCATTTTCAAAACTACTAAAAAAATCTTATTATCTATTTTAGGTAAAACTAGTACCAAACCCCAAAAAACATTTAGTTATGTACTGATAAAGCTTAATAGGAAAAATGAATGTCTTCATCAAGATTCCCAAAGAAGTTCCCTTTAAAGTTGTAGCTTCCTGTATCATTCTGAGGGAAAAATGATGGTACCACAAGTTTAGTATTGCAGTTGTACTCCATAATGTCACAGATCTTCAGGTCCATGGCTTATTTTTACTTTGGAATGGGATTCAGAGTAATTACTGTCTTTTACTCAAGAAACTACTACAGAAACACTGAAATAAGTTTTGCTATAAATAGTTTTACACAGGTTTTTCATTATGTGTAGTATGGTTTTATATGGTCTCATGTAGCCCAGGTTAGCCTTGAACTTACTATATAGCTGAGGCTGGGTTTTTAAAAATTTGTTATTTTTATTTTATGTGTATGAGTGTTATGCCTGCATGTAGGTAAGTGCACCCATGTCGTACAATGCCCACAGAGGACAGAAGAGACTGTCGGATGCCCTGGAACTGGAGTTACAGACAGCTATTAGCTGCCATGTCGGTGCTGGGATTCAAACCTGGATTTTCTGCAAGAACAGTCAGTGTTCTTAAATGCTGAGCCATCTCTCCAGCCCCCTGAAGCTGGTCTTGAACTCCTAGCTCTCCTGCTTCTACCTTCCAAGTACCTACCTTTATTTTATTTATATGATGTGATGTTATTTGTTTTATTGAAACAGGGTTTCCCTGTAGCCACCAGGCTGCCCTTGATCTCACAGAGATCCACCTACCTCTCCGGAGTGCTAGGATTCAGGCATGTACCTCCACGTCCACTATTTTTTATCCTACCTTTATCTTAATAAAAATTAAAAAAAGAGGATCTGGAGATATGGCTCAGCGGTTAAGAGCACTTCCTGCTTTTCCAAAAGATCCGTGTTCAGTTCTCAGCACCCACTTAGGGCAGCTTCTCAACCTCTAATAACTCTACCTCTGGGGACCTGGTGCCCTCTTCTGATCTCCTGGGGCACCCACACATACTTGTATATACACATATACACAATAATAAAATATAATAAACCTGAAAAGAAAAAAAATTATGAAATCAATGTACTGTAACCTTGAGTTGATGGTAAAGGGCACTGCTAAAAATTGCAACTTTGTGCTGTTTCACAATCTAGGAAAGCCCTAACAAGATGGGTGGGTTTGTGAGTTTTTCTTGTCTGTAACCTAAGCCATTCTGTTTTATTGATTTGTATCTGATTTTTTTTCCTTTTTTTTCTTTTTTAGAAGAAGCATTTCATTACAGCTTTAACATACTCAATAACAGTTTCCAGAGCAAAGAGACATCTCTTTCAAAAGTGGCTATAAAATTTTTAAGTTTACTGTTGAATTAATACAATTATAAAATATTGAACTCAGTATAAGCCCTGTAAGTCATAAAATTGAATGAGTTTTTAACCTTTAAAAAAATCTCCATTTCATTTTAAAATGTACTGTTTCTTACAGAAAGACTCATTGTTTTTGCTAATAACACTGAGATGTTGGTGCATGCATCTCTAATCTGTATGTATCTGATTATTACTAGTCATAATCGGTTGCACTCGGATCCTTGGCACCTCTGTGTGTCTATAAAGTCATCGGGTAGATTTCAGTGGTAATGTTTATTACCTCTACTAATTACCATGATGTAAATTTTTATGCTTCCTCCTCAAATATAAGTCATTTAAAAAATTTGTTTATTTTTACGTGTGTATATGTCACATAGAATGTCCCAAACCATCTTACTCATCTATACACCCACTTCCCAGATGATAGCCTCCCTTCCCCACTAGAGCCCTTATACTCTGATATCCCTGCTACTGTCCACTGTGTTGTCGGCACCCCCAGCCATTCTCCACTACTTGTCCATCTGGTGAATCTAGTCAGCCTATCTAAAGGTCTTTGTTTTAGGAAGGTCAGCTGTTCCTCATCTAGCAGCAATCAGTTGTCAATATTCCTTTAGATGAGATTGGAGTCTGCTGTTCATTTTCCCAGTTCTATGCTGGGTTACTGTCTGGGAGTCCCTTGGGCCACCCTGGCCAACAACTCAAAAGAAGGTACTTCCTATCTGGCATTTTTGCTTGTTATGTAGCCTTTAGCTATGCATATGGACTCTTAAAAAATTATGTTGGCCCCTTTAATCTTTGGTTGTACTTTCCTTTGGGGTGTTTGAGGGCATACAGTTGGCCCAGGTGAAGCAATTTATTTTTACTCTTAAGGTCGTTTGAGGATCTGTTCCTCAGGGGTCACATGGGCTTGGGAGGCGCCCCTGGCTCCTTTCTTTTACCAGTTCTGCCTATGTGAAGATAAGTCAAAGGTCCTGCTCGACCATGGCTGGCTTCACTTGGAAGCCTGGAAGAAATGATTCCTCTGTATTGACCCTCCTCTTTGTAGACTGGACACTGGTTCAAGTCCATCTTGTGGGGTCTCCACAGCCTCCTTGATCAAGAGGACAGGTGACCCACCACAATTTTTAAAAAATTTTATTTATGCCAGGCGTGGTGGCACACACCTTTAATCCCAGCACTCAGGAGGCAGAGGCAGGCAGATCTCTTGAGTTCAAGGCCAGCCTGGTCTACATAGTGAGTTCCAGGACAGCTGGAACTGCAGAGAGACCTTGTCTCAAAAAGACAATAAATGTTTATTTATTATTATTTTTATTTTATGTGTATGCGTGTATTGCCTGCATGTAGGTAAGTGCACCCGTGTCCTACAATGCCGGAGAAGGTCAGAAGAGGCTGTCGGATCCCCTGGGACTGGAGTTACAGACAGTTGTTAGCTGCCATGTGGGTACTAGGATTCGAACCCGGGTCTTCTGCAAGAACAACCAGTGTTCTTAACTGCTGAACCATCTCTCCAGCCCCTGTATCTGATTTTTATGGTCCCTTGGTATTTACAGTCATAGTCATTAATATATTTATTCTTGTTTCTTTAATTTCTTGCTGTTAGTCTGTGATCTCAAGAACTACATAACCTGACTGATATTGAGTTCTCTGTACAATGAGTATGAATAAGGGTGTCTCTCAAATATTCATTCAAGAGTGTTAGTAAAGTAGCCAGGTGTGGCCCGAATTCTCTCTGGGTCTCCTGCACATGAGACAAACCATATAATATATTTTATGTGAGTTTATTAACTTACAAAGGAATGAGTACCCAGTGCCTAGCCCGGTGCTATCGCCACTCAGAGCCCGCCTT